GTCTCCTGGAAACAAATTTTCTTCTCTTTGAGCAAGTCTGTTTCTCCTTTACTCTTGAAGGTTAGCAGAATACAAAATTGTAGGTTTTTAATTTTCTCTCAGCACTTAAGTACTTCACTCCTCTCTGCTTGTGTGCTTCCTGAGGAGAAGGCGGATGTAATTGTTTGCTCTTTGCTCTGCTCCTCTATACATAAGGTGTGTCTTCCTCTGGCTTCTTTCAGGAGATTTTCTTTGTCCTTGATTTGCTGCCGTGTGAACATGATACACTTACATGCGGTTTTTGGGCATTTATCCTGCTTGGCATTCTCTGAACTTCCTGGATCTCTGGTTTAGTGACTGATGTTAATTTGGGGAAATCCTCAGTCATTATTGCTTTAATTATTTCCTCTGTTCCCTCTGTCTCTGTCTTGTCTCCCTGCCTGCCGTTTGTAGTCGTCCCACAGTCCTTGGATATTCAGATTTGTTTTTTCCTTTGTCTGTTTTCTTTCTGCTTTTCAGGTTGGGACGTTTCTGTTGCTCAGAGACTTGTCTCTGCAGCTCAGAGACTCAAATGTCCTGCAGCTCAGAGACTCTTTCCTCAGCCATGTCCAGGGATCACTGGTTAATGTCTGCTGTGTTTCTTACTGTGCCCTGTTGCTTGCCCTGTGTTTTCTTCTATTTTCTCTTCCAGTTCTTCCTATTTTCGCTTCCACTTTTCCTCACTTTTTGTGGTTTTGATTGCACTTTCTCCATCATGAGTCCCTCAACACATCCTTCATTTCTGTTCTGGTGTTTTGACCTCTGCCACATCTTTTTTCCCCTGATAATTTCTACCTTTCTTTTTACATTACTTATTTTCTTTCTTACACGTTGTGTACTTTTTTTTCATTAGAGCCTCTACCTTATTATATTGATAGTTAGAATTCTTGGACTGATCATTCCATCACCTCTGTCATGCCAGAGTCTCTGGTTCCTGTGTTTGTTGTCTCTTCAAACCATGTTGTTTGCTTTTTCATGTGCTTTATAAGTTTTCGACCGTGTTGAACAGGATGTGCTAGGTGAGAGGAGCTCGCAGGCCTTCAGTGCCCCTCGGTGGGGTGTGGGGGGCAGGATACCTCTGCAGTGTCTGACTAGGTGTCCGGTCTTTACTGAGGCTGTGACACTGGCTGGCCCTCCTGTCCTCCTCTTCCCCCCTGTGCGACAGGACATTTAACCTCCCTTCCCTTGGGCCGATCGGGCTCTTGGGGACAGGCCTCGTTAAGAACCAAACGTGTTCTATCTCTGAATGGGTACTTTCTCCTCCCTCTAGTGGGGGCTGGAGGGGCGTTTTCTCTCCCCTTCCCTGGGAGCCAGACGGAGCTGCAGAGCTCCTTTCAGTGTAACCAGGGAGAATGGGACCCTCCATTCCTGCCAGGCCCCAGCTCTCCCACCTGTTCCCCCCAGGCTCTGCCTGAGGCGCACCGGGCGAGTCTGCCGCCTGTCTCTGGTTTGGCGCCTGTCTGTGGTTTGGCGGTGGCCCTTTGCCCTGGGACTCCTTCTCTGTTCACTCAAAGAGGAGTTGCGGGTTCTTGATCTTGTGCAGCTTCTCCCTTGTTCAGGCGGAGGGGGACTCGACTCCTCATGCACAGCGCGATCTCTCTGTGGGTTTCCCAGAGCTCCCGCTCTCCGTGTTCTCGGTGTGGGGACTGTGCCGGGTCAGCGGCCTTGAGGAGAGCCATGCTTCCTCCCTGTCCACCAAGCTCTGAGGTCCTTGCACATGCAGTGGCGCCCCGGGCCTGTGGTGCTTGTGCCCGAGGGGCTGCGTCTCCGTGAGAGTGGAGGGTTGACTGGGCGCGGCTTGCCTCTTCTCCAGGGCTCCCGCTGTGGCCCTCCTGTGGCTGGGAAAGTGAGCCCCGTGGGGACACGTGGTGACAGGTGGGCCCGGGCATTGCCTGGTGCACAGGGGTGGGGGCAGACGGATAAGGCTGGTGGCCCTGTCCTGGTGAACTCTGCATGGGAGGCGAGCTGGCCCTGGCACTGGGGGGAGGAGGGTGAGTGGGGAGGGAGGCCAGGTCCTGTGGGCCCCAAGGGCCCTGGGCAAATCCTGTACTCTGGGTGGCTTATCCACTGTCCTCATCCCATGCACCCCAAGCCTAGAGATGTTCCAGGGGGTTCCAGGGAAGTTTGCTGTCCTCCCAGGCTGTCTTCTGTCATCTGTGAGCTGCCTGCTTGTCTGTGTACAGGTGCCTGGGCTGCCAGGGACAGTGGGGTGGACAGTGCTGGGCACCGTGGACCTGCCTGTCTTACCATCTTCGCTGTGATCCAGGACAGACAGCCCTGCACTGACCAGTTGGCTGTGTGTCTCCATTTGTTCGCTCCACGTTGGAATTGAAAGTGGCCTGCTGATGAGGAAGTGTGTGTTAGCATGCCCGCTCTCAGGGGAGGCCAGGGAGACTTTGCAGATAACCCAGTAGCCTTCCTCCTCCCGCCAGGGGACCGCCTCCTCCCGGGAGACCGTTGGACTGAGCTTGTGGTCAGAGGTTCTTTGTTTTCTTTGTATTTTGCTGCTGAGTGTGAGTTTTGATCACCGCAGCAAGGAGTGCTGCTGTGGTATTATTTTCTTCAAGATAAAATTTCATTGTGATTTTTGTCCTTGCACTGTGGATTAAACAAGATTGTGGTTTAATTTTCAAAAACGGAAGTATTTCCAGATATTAATTTCTGGTTTAATTCTCATGTGGTCAGAGAACAAGCTTCTTAGGATTTCACGTTGTTTCAGGTGTACGGAGGGTTTGTGCCATGAGTAGCAGATGGTGGGTCTGAGTGAACGTCTCACGTGGACTTGGGGGGAAAAAACCAGTGTAGGCTGTTTGTAGTGCTCTGGCTTTCTGTGTCCTGATGTCCTACCCACTCCTTAGTCTATGACCGAGAGAGGAGAGCTCACGTCTGAACGTCTAATTGTGGATGTGTCGCTTTTTCCTGTCCGGGCCATTGGGCCTTGCTTCGTGAACCCCAGTGTTCTGATCTAGTTCACATACCATCAACATGTTAAATGTTCTGGCTTCTTAATTAATTGACTCTTACCATTTTGAAATGTCGTCTTGATCCCTGATAACCTTGTCCTGAAGTTAATATGTGTGGTGCTAGCAATCGTCCCATCCGTTTTTATATAGTCCCTGAATTGGTGTGTTTGGACACTCTTCATTTGATGCCATTATCTGTGCTGTTGAGACTAGAAGCTACCTTGGCCGGATGTAGTGCTCTGAGTCCATGAGTTTTATTCCACTGTCTTCTGTTCTGGCTCATGCTCTTTCTGACCATGAGTCTGGAGCCACTGTTGTCTTTGATTCTCTGTGTTGTTTCTTTTTAAAAATTACTTATTTTTAGAGAGAGAGTGCACGAGCAGGGGAGGGGCAGAGAGACAGGGAGACACAGAATCTGAAGCAGGCTCCAGGCTCTGAGCTGTCAGCACAGAGCCTGTGAGAACATGACCTGAGCTGAAGTCAGTCGCTTCACCCACTGAGCCACCCAGGCGCCCGTGTTTGGCTGTCATGGGCCCTGGTTTTCAGAACTGGGATTAGGATGCACTCTAGTGGGCTCGTCTTTTGTTTTTGTCCCACTTGGGCACAGCTGAGCTCGTTGGCTGTGTGGCTCTGCGCTCAACACATCTGGGGAACTCTCTGCCACTGCTTCTTCTAGCTCTTTTTTTCCTGGTGCACCTCTCTCTCCCTGGGTGCGGTTTACTGTGCATCAGACCTTGTTGACACCAGTTGTGAGGGTCCCCAAGTCTCCTTCTATCCCTACCTTCCATGGGTCTGGTCCCCTATTAACCATGTCCGTTCATCTTCATTTCAGATTATGTGTTCTCATCACTTTCATTTCTTTCTTTTATTCCACACATTTTTCTGTTTTGAGTGTTGTCTGTGTTGTCCCTTAAATATTTGAGCAGATTATAGCTCTTTTAACGTCTTTGCCGTTAATTACTTTCTGGTTGTAACCCACTTGGCATGGGGTATGGTTGGCTATTTTCCTTTGAGCCGAGTGGCCTCTTTTGGGGTGCTGGCCCTTTGAGATGTGTGGTGGCACGTCGGGACTCTGCGGCCATGCTCGGACTTTGTTCTGGCCACCAGGTGCCCGGGTGGGTCTGGAGCAGCCCTCCTGCTGAGAGGTCACCTCTGTGTGGTTTTTACCCATTGCCCCACGGGTTCGAAACAATGGCTGGCTGGGCTTTGAACAACTGCTGTCCCTTTCCACCCCAGATGTTTAGAGTCCCTCTGAGGGAACCCCCCCACCCAGTGCTCTGGCCTCCTGCCCCCCTATTCATCCAGCCCTGCTCTGGCTCTCAGCCTGGGGCATGGTCACCAGCTCTCCTTATTCCCCCGCGGGCCTTCTCGTGTGTCGCTCTCGCACGCGGGCCTGGCTGGCGCACAGCCTCCTGGTGCTGGGGGCCGGTGCCTCTTGTCCTCCGTTGCCTGGGTCCAGACGGCTCAAATCTGCTCGCTTTCTGGTGGCTTGTCGCGGGAAGACAGCTTCTGTAACTTAGTACTTTACTGCTAGATTGTCACTTTTGTTGTTGTGGTTTTTGTTCCATGGGATTTTGGGTTTTTTATGGCTGATCTGGGGAGATGAGCTGTTGTCCTTGTTAGCGTCGTGGAACCCCTTTTATTTCCTTCTTAGCAATTAAATAAACAAATAGCTTCCTACAGGTTGGGTCTTTATGGCTTATTTTCATTTCATGCTTTTTTTTTTTTTTTTTTTTTTAAATGTTTGTTTATATTAGAGAGAGAGGGAGGGAGACACAGAACCCGAAGGAGGCTCCAGGCTCTGAGCTGTCAGCACAGAGCCCGACGCGGGGCTTGAACTCATGAACCGTGAGATTATGACCTGAGCCGGAGTCAGAGACACTTAGCTGATTGAGCCCCCAGATGCCCCCTGTCATTCTTTGTATAGTAGTTTTCAGAAGCTCATTTTTCCCAGGTTCTGCAGTATTTTCTGTCTGGTTTTTATTGATATTGTTATTGACGTGCTCACTTCTCTTTTAGGCCATGCTGGCGTGTCTGCAAGCATGATGAAGAAGAGGACGTCCCACAAGTAAGCAACTCTGAAACTTGCTTTTAGATAGCAGGTTGTGGCCTTAGGTGACATAGGGCTCGAGATGCCAGCGTACTGCCCTCTTTTGTGTGCTGAGCAGGCCGTGACCCGTCCTTGTGGCCTACGGCCGCCTATGCCTGTCCTTCCACCCTTGAAAGCCTCTGGACCATGATCTCCCCCAATCCCCCCCAGGCTGTGCACACGGTGGGAAACCCCGGCAGTGAGGGCGGCACATGGCCCTCCTCTTCCTCTTCCCCCTGGGGAGGGCCGCATGTTGTCAGCACGCAGGGTCTTTGCGGGGCCTTGGATGTGCTGCTGGCAGGGAGGTCCTGGTGGCCAGAGGCCTCAGCTGCTGCTGGAGGGCCTGATGAGCACGCTGACAGCTGCTCTCTCACTGCTTTGTAACTTTTTCAAATAAATGAGAAGCTTGAAATTCAGAGAAAGCATATGCCTGTTGAAAGATCATCTAAAAAGCCGTGTATTTTAAGTGACCAGTATGTTTTAAGTCTTAAACTCTGTAGTACCAGAATGAACAAGCCACTTTTCCCTCCCTTTAATCTTTGTGTGTGACGTAGTTACATTTGTAAAGGAAATTGAGGTGCTGTATTAAATAATGCTGTGCTTGTACTGAGTCACACATCGGACTAGACTGCACAAGTATCCCCTAGGCCCTGGTCCCTGCCGCTGCACCACGGCACTGCTCTGGCAAGTCGGTTCTGATCATTTGAGCCTCGATTGGAGATTGTTAACTATGGACCAGGCCTCTGACCCTCGCTGGCACCTCCCTTGCCTCCCTTCTGAATTGTTCACACCAAAGTCCCCACCCTTTGTGGCCAAAGAGCACGAGGCGCCTTGGCCACTGTGACGGGTCTGGATGCGTACGCGTGCCCTTACATGATGGTCGCTGATCCGGGCACACGTGCCTTCCATGTACATGGGTACGTGCATAGTAGTGTAGGTAATGTGTCAGGTTTGGTCCATGAAATGACCTACCATGTGAAAGTGAAGTTGAGGCCTGGGTGTCCCTGAGGGTTGATAAAGCATTCCCCAGATTTCGTTGATGTGCGCATTACGTTCATGGTTCTGCCATGCCCACTGACCTGGTAATTTATCATTGTGTTGCACCATTACCATAAGTGATCAACTGTCTCTTGGCCCAAGTGAGAGGTAACAAAATGAATATAAGCCGTAATATCCGGTAATGATAAAAATTTAAAGACAGTGGGGAGGAGAAGCAAGTTACATGCTAATTTGTGAGACTGGAACATTTCATGCAAAAGAGATTTTACCAGTTAGTTTAAAATAACTGGTTTTCAGAATGTGGTGTGCATTCAGTTTTACCCATTTTTATACACTCCTGGGTATCTGGTTAGACGTTCCTTTAGTTAGGATTTCAGGCATTCTTGGGTGTGTGTGAGGGTTTCACATGCCTGCTTTTAAGCACTGCTTTCCATGGGCTCGTGGCCCTGATGTGCTAGTAATTCCCTGCCTCCTCTCCCCCCGAAAGCACAAGGAATAAATGCCTACCTGTTAAATCTTCTGAGCGTCTGCTCCCCTATGGTCTGCGATGCAGGGAGCTCGGTCTGGTGTTTGTTTCAGTGAAACACGCCTTCAGTAGATGGCCTTGAACTTGGTACTCTGTAACCGGAGGGCGCCACGGGAAGAGAGGACACTCAGTCCCATTCACCTTGTCTTCTTATCTCTGTGCACATCTGAAGATGATTGGAAACAAAGAGTCGGCACATTTTGTGATGGGTGGTCGCTGCTCGCTGCCCCTGGAGGGGTCTGCTGGCTAGTGAGGCCCCTGCACAGGGGCTGGCTCGGAGCGGGGAGCTGGTTGGCCCTGCTGGGCGCCTCGGCACGTTCCTCTGTCTGCCTGGACTCTGCTTACTGCGCCTAGAAATCCTGGTCGGACTGGAATGGTGGGGCACCAGCTTTTCCATAGACCAGCCTTTCTGCCGGCGAGATGTTTATGGAAACCACGAACTGACCAGCGGACCTGGAGGCTCACTCTGCCCTTGTCTCCACTGTGGCCCAGTAGTGAGCGAGGAAAGGCACGCGGGACCTGCAGCCACTGACCGTGGCCTCCCTCCTCTCACCTCCTGTCTGTCGGGGGGCTGAGCAGTAACCTCACATGCAGAGGGAGTCACAGGAGCACCCGGCAGACGAGCGCGGCAGCCCCGTCTCTGTGGACACTAGTGTGATGCAGGGAGTCGGGTCTGCGGCGTTGGGAGCATGGCTGCAGCAGACCAGAGCGGTTGTGTAGCTGCGTCTCGTCCTGACCTTCACGTGACTGGGGTGCACTTCCATGCCCCCTGCCGCCAGGCCCCTTGCTGCAGTTTGGGAACAGGCTGGTGGACAGGCCTTTCCCAGCTACACAGGACATCGTTTGGGAAATGCATCCGCAGTGAAACTGCACTTGGCCCGTGAACAACACAGGGTTGAGCTGCACAGGGCCACTTGTACCCAGATTTAAATGTGGCACAGAACTATAAGTGTGTTTTTTGTTCCTTATGATTTTCTCCTTCTTTCTTCCTTCCTTCCTCCCTCCCCCTGTCCCTCCCTCCCTTCCTCCCTCCCTCCCATTTTTGAGAGAGCAGGGGAGGGCGGGGGGGGGAGGGGGACAGAGGATCTGAAGACAGCCTGATATGGGGCTTGAAATCATGAACAGTGAGATCATGTCCTGAGCCGAAGTCGGATGCTTAACTGAGCTATGCAGGTGCCCCTGCCTTATGGTTTTCTTAATGTCTGTTCTTTTCTCTGGCTTCCTTTATTGTAAGAGTACAGCATAGGGTCCATACGGCATACAGAGTGTATGGTGTTTATGTAATTGGTAAGGCTTCTGGTCAAGCTATCAAGTTTTGAGGGAGCCAGAAATTACACCCTGGGTTTTGACTGTGTGTGGGTCAGTGCCCCGATCCCTGCTTTAAGGGTTAGCTGTGCATTTTGAGTTTGGGGGTCTCTCAGGCAAGTTTTGCTGTAACAGTTCTTTGTTGCAGTTTTCAGCAAGTCTGGTTCTTTGTCTTCCCTAATTTGAACAGTGGATGCCTTTCCATTTCAAGGCACTGTCAGAAAACACGACTGGGTTTTGGTGTATTTTTAGAAAAATGGACCAGGGCTGTTATACACTAATTAGAGGTATTTTCAGCAAGTGCTTTTCCGTTTGTTAAGTCACAAGTCCCAGTCACTGACCATAACAATGATAGATGCCTCTCCCCTCCTCTCCCTTCTCTTGGAGTCCCTGCTGTGGGCTTGAGCACATTGCATGGCATCCTTATCAAGTAGGAACCATGGGCCCTTTGATGCAAGAGGTTAAGTGAATAGTGGGGTCATAGAGCTGGGAAGCAACTGCGCCAGGGGACGGCAGGGTTCTAGAGCACTCAGCTACCACACCGCGCTTCCTCTGGAATGGTTGCTTGTCTTACGTCGGGAAAATGGGTTATTTCTGTCGTAAACACACGGACTAGATAACAGTGCAGCAGGAGTCTATATAAAGTGTGGTGTGAGTGTCTTAAATTGATCAAAAAGTATAATACCTTTGAATTGACTTGTGAGTAAGTGCTCTTTACACCAAGGAAGTGAATAGCGTTTGGAAGGGCTCGGCATTGGGAGGGTTCCGCGGACAGCTCTGGCATTCTCGGGGCACGGTGTACAGACAGAGTAGTGAAAGAACCCATAGTGTGTGGGTGGAAACCAGATCCCCATTTTGTTTTTATATTGTTGTTTTAAGCCGGCAATAGCAGTGTCAGCTGTACAACTTGTATTATGCAACAGGTACCAGGAAAAGCTTTCTCCTTGCTGGTGTGCATCTTATAAAAAGACCATTATTTTGTAATTTTTTATAGTTTATTTTTATTTTTGAGACAGAGACAGATAACGAGTGGGGGAGGGTCAGAGAGAGAGGAAGACACAGAATCCGAAACAGGCTCCAGGCTCCGAGCTGTCAGCACAGAGCCTGACACGGGGCCTGAACCCACGGACTGTGAGATCATGACCTGAGCCGAAGTCGGACGCTTAACCGACTGAGCCACCCAGGCACCCCAAAAGACAATTATTTTGATTCAGTCAGTAGTTTGTTCTGAAATCTGCTACAACACGATTAAGGGGACTGCTTTTAGAAGACAGTACTAAATAGAATAAGGAACGTGTCAGTAATGAATTCATGCAACATAGTATGCGCTGTGTGAGTGGCATATCCCGGTTCACAGCAGGATGGTGCTAGTTGAAGTTGAAGAAGTGGCCTTTTAAATAATGGCCACCAAAATAAGGTCTTCCAGTCCCGGGGAGGAGGATGCACTTTGAACTCAGAATCTCGTTTCTGGATGACAGAATCGTTAGCCTGGTAGTTTCCGAATTTATATAAAGTGTTGAGCAACATACAGAAATGCCCCCCACAGTCTCAGCTTACCTTTTTGGGACCATGGGTGCATAGAAACTAGTGTCACTTGTGACTCATGCTCCCCAAGGTGTGGTGCATGGGGCAGCGGCGGCCAGGAGCGTGTGCTTGAAGGTCTGGGATCGTGGGACCTGGGGCCGCCACGCCTTTACCATGAGCTCTGGGCAGTCGTTTGCCTGCTAGATTCTCCAGCGAAGCCCATCTGAGAACTAAGATGCTTGTGTGAAATCCGCTCCTGCTGTACAGGGAGAGTGGCTTTCTTCCCAGGATCTGGACGCTCCACATGCGAGTACAGGTAGAGCCCGTCCCAGCCGTGAGGACAGACAGCAGCTTACCCCTCCAGAGGCCAGCGACGGCTTTGGGAGAGGAGCAAGGTAAGTGCTCACAGGTGCTTACCTCCTGTTTCTGTGCTGTCTTCTTGAGTTGTTCCGATCGTGACACAGTGCATCCTTTTAGTTGGGCTTGGCCGCAGGCTCAGCTGTTCTCCCAGATGACGTGTGTGGTGTCCGTCTGTGGCAATGCTGTGTGTGTGCGTGTGTGCGCGCACCTGCGCCTTTGGAGAGTGGGCGTGGAGAGCGCCCTAGACTCTTTGCAGGGACGAACACGAGCTTGAGGGCTGTTAACGAATATGTCTGTCCACGGAGAATGTAAGTCCACATACATTCAGGGAGTATTTTATTTTATTTTATTTTATTTTAAGTTTATTCATTTAGAAAGAGACAGTGAGCCAGGAGGGGGAGGGGGCAGAGAGAGAGAGAGAGAGAGAGAGAGAGAGAGAGAGAGAGAGTCCCAAACAGGTTCTTCTGAGAGCTTGGAGCCTGCTTTGGATTCTGTGTCTCTCTCTCTTTGCCCTTATCCCAGTTGCACTCTGTGTCTCTGTCTCTCTCAAAAGTAAATAAACATTAAAAAAAATTTTTTAGGGGCGCCTGGGTGGCTTAGTCGGTTAAGCGTCCGACTTTCGCTTGGGTCATGATCTCGCGGTTCGTGGGTTCGAGCCCCGCGTCGGGCTCTGTGCTGACTGCCAGAGTCTGTGTCTCCCTCTCTCTCTGACCCTCCCCTGCTCACGCTGTCTCTCTCTCTCCTAGAAATAAATAAAAACATTTAAAAAAATTTTTTTTAAGCACTGAGCTGAGGAGCTCTCTGCCACTTTGAGTTGAAAAGGAAGCCCTCCGATAAGTGGGTATCCAGAGTGGACCCTGGAATTCTGCACAGGTTGGAGTCCCCAAAGGCTGGCCGCAGCCAAGGGGGCCAGAGGAGAAAGCAGCCGCTGAAGAGGTTTGCCTGCCTCTCGTCTCCGTCCCCAGGTCTCTGCTCCCAGCCACTCCACAGCCCCCTGGGTCCCTGCTGCTTCTCAGATCCCACACCTCCTGCTCAGACGTCAGGGTCCGATTGGGCCTGAAGAAGTACATCCCAGCTACAGACGCCGTGGTCTCACCTTGCACCGAACACAGGAGCGCTGGGGACTGTCAGGCACCCCAGGAGCACTGACCGTACGAGAGAGAGTCACACATGACGGGAGAGCTAACCAGAGTCTGCAGACAGTGCCACCACACCCAGACACAGCCGACCTGCAAAGGTCGTAGAGGAATCAGGAAAGGAAGTGAACGTTTACCCCCAATGTTGGAAGGCTTGTTAAATTAAAGAGACGTGGTTCAAGAAAAGGGAAAGAAACAGTTTCTATCTATCGTTTTGATAGATAGGCTGAAATTCACAAGCCTGTCTATTTTACCTAATTCAGGAGAACTTGGTCTGAAGCTTTTTTGGAAGGTGAGCAGTGTCAGGGAAGAGGGTCGTGGAGGAAAGACCAGGAAGTGCTGTGTTTCTCTGCTGAGGAAGGGATGGTGGGTGAAGCGTCAAGAGTAAATGTGGGAACGGGGCACCGGGATGGCTCAGTCGGTTAATCGTCTGTTTGTCTCAGCTCAGGTCATGATAGCACAGTTGGGAGTTCAGGCCCCACACTGGGCTCTGTGCTGGGTGTGAAGTCTACTTCTTAAAAAAATAATAAATGGAGATAATTTTGAACAGCTCTTTTTCGATGGGCCAAGTGCTAGTTGAGGGATTGAGTCCAGGATAGAAGCTTTTCTGGTTGTGGACCCGCAGGGATTGTGTGTACGTATGAGTGTGCACACACACACAGATTAGAAGAGCTGTGTTGCAGCTCCCGTCCGAGAGCAAAATTGCTTCCTGTGAGAACACTTTTTCTTAAGACCTTCAACTGATTGGGTGAGGCCCACCTACATTATGGTGGGCCATCTGCTGATTTACACACTGTTTTTCTAGAAAAATGCCTTCACACAAAACATTTAGAATACTGATTGGCCAGATAGGTGAGTACTGTGGCCCAGCCAGGATGACAGATTTAGATCAAAGATCGTACTGGTGGAGAGGCTGTATTTGCTTACAATTTTGGTAGTTATGGTGGAACGTTTGTATAATTCTGATATGGTGCATGTGACTGTATTCCTTACTCTGTGAGGTTGAGAACTAGTCTCTGCCTTTGCTGTGAAGAAAGCCTGATCCTGTACAAGTGTGCATTGCTAGGATTTCTGCCGAAATCTCACAGATGGGTAATTGGCTGTTTGAGGAGATACATAATGCTGAGATTCCTGTCCTCTTCCAGCGATATGTAGGGGCCTGAGCTTCCCGGTGTCTGGGTGTTAGTGCTGTTGGTAGTTACAGGTGACAGACTCGATAGTGCCCAGTACTTGGCCTTTTCTCTCTGATGAGTTGCACCCTGCTGAGTCCCTGGGTGGGCAGCACGGAGTCAAGCTCTCGGCCCTGCCCCTCTGTCCATCCAAGGGAGGGTGATTGTCCCAAGTGCTTTCTGTACGGCGGGCGGCCTGTAACCTCACAGGCCTCCATGGTCAGTGTAGTGTCCTTGGCTCACATTCCCCTTCCTGAGAACCGTAAACTCTGCTGCCTCGTGGCCCCAATGTCACCGTTACATCCTCCCGTGAAGCGGTCCTTGTGCCCAGAAGCCCACCAGATGTTTTCCTTAAAGGATGTGTTTTACTGGAAGATGTTTGTGTCCGTAGTTGGGGTCTGTTTTCCCAGGACTGCCTTTGCACAGGGACGTCATTTCTTTCAGGGGTTTTTCCAGGAGTTGCGCCAGCGTCCTAATGTCCTTTGACAGCTGGAAGCTGTGTCCTGTCTGCCCAGGCGCACCCCACTGCATCTGGTGGCCATGCTCCTCCGGCTTAGTCCTCGTTTCTGAGATGGCCTGTCTAGTTCTCCCTCCCTGCTCAGGCCTCTAGTGTGTGCCTGGCAGTGGGGAGGATTTCCATCTCCCTTGTGGGCAGATGGCCTTTGGGTGTGCCTCCGACTGGTCTGTGTCGTCCGACGTGCACTTCTGCCTCTGTCCTCCTGGGCCCTGTGCGTGAGAAGAGCTGTGGCTCCCTGCGTGGCCGTCCCTGCAGAGCTCGAGCCCCTCTGTCTCCACACGGCCTGTGGGGTCTTGCCTTGTCATCCTGTGAACCCCTTCCTCCTGGAAGGCAGGTCTGCTGGGAGCCTGCAGAGAATGCCCTCGGAACCCCGGGAGCCCTTTACCAGCCGACGTAAGTGGTCTTCCGTCAGGGATGGCCCCGTCTTGCTGAGGGAGAGGCCTGTGCCAGCAGACATGGACCTCATTGGGCAGCCGCTGAGGTTCCTCGGTGGCACGCTCGCTCTAGATTTCCTAGCTCGCCTCTTTAAAGTATGTACATCATAGTTTAAATATCACAGCCTACAATAAATTGTTTTTTTCTATGTTTGTGCATATGCCAGTTGCTCGTGACTTTGACTTGTGTAGACGAGAGCTCTCTGCCCACCAGATGTTCTTGGCTGAGCGCGTGCAGTGCGCACGGGGCCTGGCTGTCCGCTCTGTCCACGCCCAGCCTGATCCCTTGTCTGCGGACTCCTAGGTGGAGCCCAGATGCCTTCCCTGATACGAGGACCCACGTTTGCTGCTTGTAAATGTTGAATGTAGATTTTCCAATTGTTAATAATCTGGAAAGAATGTGGTTTGGTGTTGCTCCTCCAATAGTTTTAATAATACATTACGTGTTTGTCAAAATTCAAGTGTGTAAGATTGTACATTTTCCAGAGGAGTACTGACTGTGTGATGCCTGGATGCCAGCCGGCCTGGACTGCCAGTTAAGGAGACGTTAAGTGTCTAGTGTTTTCTCCTTGATTAAGGCGGTGGGGGCTCATCATGTGGGCGCCAGAGTGGGTGAGATTGAATGGTTGTGGGTTCATATTCGGTAAAGCCATGTGTCCATATTTTATGCGGTCAGCCCTTCTGTGTGATTAACTGGGATAACTGTGAGTTGACTGCAGTAACAGAAGCTCCGAGAAGGTGATGCTCATACTCCACATCGGGGTGAAGTTGCTACGGGCAAGTGCTGCTCCTCTGCCCGCCCACAGGGTGTGCAGGGAGCAGGGCGCGTGCACATGATGATGTGGAGGGCCCCTGCGGGCACCTGCACCGGGACAGCATGCTAGCTAGCAGTAGGGTTGGGGGTAGGGATGCATACTTCTGAGATGATCCCTTACGTGTGTATATGTGTGAATGCAGAAAACATCGGAGCAGTGTGGGGCCGAGCAAACCCGTTTCCCAGCCCCGGAGGAACATCGTAGGCTGCAGGATTCAGCATGGGTGGAAGGAGGGGAATGGCCCTGTCACCCAGTGGAAAGGAACCGTTCTGGACCAGGTGCCTGTAAATCCTTCTTTGTATCTTATAAAGTACGATGGATTTGACTGTGTTTATGGACTAGAACTTAATAAAGATGAAAGAGTGTCTGCGCTTGAAGTCCTTCCCGATAGAGTTGGTAAGTTCTCTTTACTGTTTGTGTGTTGTATCCTTTACACATGATTATTGAAGTGATTGCTTTGTGATTATTGTTCTGCATTATTGGTATTTGTGTTTTTCCTGGAGTGCAGGCACTCCCCCTACACACCTGAGTAAGTCACCTGAAACCACAGTTCAGGTGAGGGGTGTAAAGATATGTGAAATGATCGCTGAACAAATAAACTGGTAATTTCTAACATGGTTATTTCCCACATTTTGCTCACTGTTCATGTGGACTCTGATGGGTAAGAATATTTTATTAGCTCAAATATCCTGTGTACTTTCATCAGATTATAGTAGCTTATGCACTTATTTTAGAATCCTTACATGAAGCATACTTTCATTGTGTGGTATTACATAAGAGATAATGGCATTTCCAGCTAAAATTCTAGGAGCCAAAAACTGTGGGTTTTACTCTGCATTCTTTAGATGGTTGTTTGCACAATGTGGAAATGAATGGCCCTTTCTTTTTTAAATATCTTACAAATGTGTCCCCTTGTATACCTTAGTTCCTTAGGACTTAAGGTGTCAGTTAAATAATAATGACTGATTTTATTTTTAAGGATAAAGTTAAATACCATTTCTAGGATGAGTAGGATGCACCCATGTTAATGTTACTTCCTTCACGGAGTGTTCACTGTGCAGTTACTTCCTTCACGGAGTGTTCACTGTGCAGTGCTTGCTTCTTACCATGGTGATGCCGCTCGTGCATGAGTGCTGGTTGATGCTTTTGGATTCGTCTTGAAAAGCCTCTGTGTTAACAAACCCAGTCTTAGCAGATGTGGACTTGAGGGTAGAAGTGTGGGCCCAGATTGTCAAGAGGGGAAAATACTCTGTCCCCTTGTCTCCTTTGTTTCTGTCATTGTGTTCTTGGGACACAGGTGCTTCCCCAGCAGGTTAATTCTTTGCCAGAGCAGCAAGTTTTTTGTTCACTTTCCCTTTAGATAATGATGCTAAGTGTGTATTCATCCTGTGTAAATACAGTTCTGTTTTCACAGAAATCTTTAGGTCTTCGTTATTACCAAAGGTAACTACTTGTGTAATGTTACGTCTCTAGCATTTGTCACTTGTTCTCGGTCCCACTGGATCTTCCTGCTTCCTCACGAGGCAGATCCTCTGATTCCTCTTGATTTTGATGTTAGCTCATTTCCAGCGTAAGAAGCTAACAACAAAGAGTCTTTATTACCTTCAGGTTTTAAAAAAATCCAGATCTTCATATCCATTGTTTGTACTAAGTAATTGTCATGTATTCTTTTTCTGAGCTAGATGTTTAGTCTGTCCCTTTTGGGGTGAGACTGCCAGCCTGTGTGAGCTCTTCTGTCATCATAGGACAAAGGAGGTCTTTTTCTCTTGATAAAAACATGATTTGACCAAACGAAGATACCCCTAAATCTATAAGTATCTCTGGTGATGGATTTGAGCTGCTAAATGGTTTTCCTATCCTTTCCAGCAAGGGATCAGGCTTGTTTTTGTAAACGGCAAAGCATTTCAAAAAGGAAATCCAAAGGCGTCTATGCAAACCAGCAGTATTTCACATGCCGAATTTAATGAATAGTTAATTCTGGTACTTCCCGAGATGCTTCAGTCTGGAAGATTCTTTGCCCTTCACTTACATTCCACGTAGGAAAGAAACTGTCTTTCACGATTGGCTTCAGATCATACATCAGACTGTACTTGCACTTTTGTTTTCCATAAGCTAAGGAGGGGACGGAAGAAGTCAGCCAACCTGAAGGCCTGCGGTGGCACAGTTTATGGGTGCCCCACACGCGGTCGGGGAGGTCAGGAGGCTTGTGACATCAGTTAAAACACAGAAAGTGAAATTTACCACTTTGGCCATTTTTAAGTGTTGAATTCAGTTAGTATTAAGTGCATTCATGTTGTTGTGGAACAGATCTCCAGAACGTTTTCATCTTGTAAATCTATTGCTCTGTCCCTGTTAAACAGCAGCTCCCTTCGCCTTCCCCCCCCCAGCTCCCGCCCCCCACCCTTCTACTTCCTGTTTCTGTGAATTGGGTCACCTTAGATACCTCCTAAGTGGAATTGTAGAATATTGTCTTTTGTTGACCACCTCCTTTGTCAGCAGTGTGCTCAGGGCTCACCCACGTAGCACATGACAGCACCTCCTTCTCTTTCGGCTGAGCGACACGTTGTGTCTCCACCACATTCGGTCCACCATCCTTCCGCTTGGTTTCCCTCCACCTTTTGGTTCTTGTGGATAGTGCTGCCATGAACATGGTGGTCAGGCACTTCCGGCCCCTGCTTTTTTCTTTTGAGGACAGTCCTGGAGGCGGAATTGCTGGAGCATGTTCTCCCACCCACAGTGCACGGGGCTCCAGGTTCTCTACATCCTCATCAACACTTGTTGTTCTTGTTGGTTTTGATTTGCATTTCTGTGATGATTAGTGATGTTGAGCACCTTCTCATACACTTTTTGACCACTTGTCTGTCATCTTTGCAGAAATGTCTGTTCGGGTCCTTTGCCTGTTTTTCAGTTAGGTTATTTGATTTTGTTGAATTTTAGGAATTCTTTACATATTTTGGAGATAAGTGAGTTTTAACAGAAGTGACAGCTTTACACTGATAATGATTTCAGATTCTGCATTGCAGTTAACCTTTCAACAATCTCCCACTTGTTGAACTGTGATGTAGCCTCACAGGAGAGTATCTGGAATTATCTGACAAGACTAATAGAACACTCCCCCTTTTCAACAACACGTCTTTGTGAGGCTGGGTTTTATACGTCAACCAGAAGAGCATGTAACAGATTGAATGCGGAAGCCGATAGGAGAATAGCTTTCCTGTTGTAAAATTAGACATTGAGAGATTTAAACAAATGTAAAATCACACTATTACTAAATTTTTGTTAGAAAACATGGTTATTTTTCATTAAAAATGCTTTGTTTCTGTAAGTCTTTAAAATAGTTTTAAACGTCTTATTTATATATTTTTTATAGTTTATTTTTGAGACAGAGCATAAGTGGGGGAGGGGCAGAGAGAGAGGGAGACGCAGAATCTGAAACAGGCTCCAGGCTCTGAGCTGCCAGCACAGAACCTGATGCGGGGCTCAAACCCACAAACCGCGAGATCATGAGAACTTCTGGTCTGAAGAAACTAGTGGGTTTTTAGTGTACAATGGGGAATTTTGTGAAATTTTGGATAATTATCGCATATGTAAGCAAAGAGAAGCACTGTATGTGTTTAGAGTGCCCTTCTGATGAAATCAGCTAACAGTATTTTCAGTAAGAAATTCTAATCTGTGTTCCTTTGAATTTTAACAGAAATAGAAGCACTCCTGAATGAGTAAAATAAAAGTGCTTTTTTTTTAAAGACAGTTGTCTAAAATGCGAGGACCATAGAAGCCTTAAAATCATTAGGATCCTCTAATTTTCCCAGTATTAAAAAAACAGGAAGGTAGTGATTTTCTGCCTGCCTCTTAACAAACACAGAGCAGGGCCGTCAGTCAATTTGTATGGCAGGTGTTGGAGCGCGGTGCTCTTGACATTGGGAAGCAGACAGGAGAAGCCTCTGCTTGCATCCCGGTATCTGGGCTAAGTATGACCACTGTTGTCATTAAGGAATAGAGCCAGAGGAGGTGACAGACAGTCATCTGACAGACAGTGGGGCTTTCAGCCGTGGTTCTGGAGAGCCCCTGGGAGGAGACCTGGAGAAGGAAGAGGCTGTGCAGGCAGGGGCTGGGCAGGAGGCAGAGGGCGGCTGGGCCAGCCCTGAGTAGCAGTTACTCAGATGCTGAAGTGAAAGCCCTGGGGCCTTCCAAGCAGAAGCACAGCAGATGTGGTGTAAGCACCCAGGAACGGTCGGCTTGCTGTAGAAAACAGATGGTGGACACAGGAGTAAGACCTCAGGTCTGGGATAGGGTGACCTCTTAGTTTGAATAACTGGCCCGTGGTCATGTCAAGTGTTACCAGAGGGAAGGTGAGTGAGGAGTGTTTGGGAATGCTCCTATTCTGCAGATCCAAACAAGCCTAGAACGATCTTAAAGTTTAACATAGCTGTTAAGCATACCTAAACCCACCTCATTCCTCGAACGAACCATTCAAAGTTATAATTTCGCTACAGCACCAAGAGCAGATGAGTTTGGAAAACAGAAAAGAAGGAAAGCAGGTTCTCTCAGTAACTGACCTGGGACCCACAGCTTCTGTGGACTCCAGTGTGGCCCGGGCGCCAGCTCGCTGGTTCTCGTGCTGATCACACGTCAGGCCATCACCTCGTGTGAGTTCAGTCTTCACACACAGTACACATTGGTAAGACCCTGTGTGAACCGCTGTCTGCTTCTTGTCCCCAGCGAGCTCTCGAATCAGCGATGCGCACCTGGCCGACACGATGATTGGAAAGGCAGTGGAGCACATGTTTGAGACGGAGGATGGCTCCAAGGACGAGTGGAGGGGGATGGTCTTGGCACGCGCCCCTATCATGAACACGTGGTTCTATATCACCTACGAGAAGGACCCTGTCTTGTACATGTATCAGCTCTTAGATGATTATAAAGAAGGCGACCTTCGCATCATGCCCGATTCAAGTAAGTGTGGATTGTTAGCTTTTATTTTTGGTAATTCCCAAGGAACTTGAATTTTAGAACAAGATATTTGATTAACTATTTTGTAGCTGCCTTTTAAAAATTTTGATTACTAGGGTTAAGTGATGATTCTTTTAGTTCTGCACCAAGCATAGATTGTGAAATTTTGCACTCTTTGCCAAGAGTAACGTGCTTTCTGTATAGATCTGTCCTGGATTGTGGACTTGTGGGTGAATGGAGCATGTAACACGGGCTGCTTTGTGAGTGGCTTCCTTCACTCAGTGTGGTGTTTTCCAGGCTCCTTTGAGTTGTAATGTGTTAGTGCTTTATTCCTTTACTGGCCAAGTACGAGTGCACGGTATTCATGTGTATCTACCCGTCTGTTGGTGGACGTGTGGGCTGTCGCTTGCCTCTTGCTCATTACGAAGGATGCTGCTATAAACCTTTGTGCGCAGGTTTCTGAGTGGATGTTTGTCTTCAGTTCTCCTGGGTGGACACAGAGGCATGGGATTGATGGGTCCGTGGTCACTGCTACGTTGTGTGGGGGACCACCAGACCGATTTTCAAGGCCACTGCACACCCTCACCGCTTTGTGATACCTGACATTCAGCTCTGGCCATCCTCATGGTTGCAAAATGCTAGCTCGTTGTGGGTTTGGTTTGCATCTACCTGATCCCTAGAGGCATTGGGCATCTTTTCATGTGTTATTGACCGTTTCTGTGTCTTCTCTGGAGAAGTATGTTTGCCTTGTCTGCTTATTCAGTCAGGCCGCCCTTCTGACACTGAGTTGTCCAGGTCTGTGTTCTCCGTGCAGGTCTCCCAACACATGTTGGACTTGCAGATACTTTCTCCTGTTCTGTGGGTTTCTTTTTGCTTTCTTGATGGTGTTCTTTGAAGCCCAGAAGTTTTTAATTTTGACAAGGTCCAATTTATTTTTTCTCCTGTAGTTCATGCTTTTGGTGTTTTCTGACAGTTTTTGCCAAGTTCAAGGTTGTGAAGATTTACCTCTGTTTTCTTCTAAGAATCTTATAGGCGTAGCTTTTACTTGTGGGTCTTTTAGCTCTTATATTTAGATCTTTGATAACATTTTGAGTTAACTTTTACGATGTGGTGAGAGGGTCCACCTTCTTTCTCCTGCACGGTGTCTGAGCACCATTACTTGGAAAGACCATTCCCTCCCCTGTTGGGTAGTTTTGCTGCCTCGTTGAGAGGGAGTTGACTGCGGAGTGCTGGTGTGCCGCTGGGCTTCAGTCCCGCTCTGTCACCCCAGGCTGTGCTTGCACACCTGCCATTCCTGGTCACACTGCTCTGGAGTGAGTTGGACATTGGGAAGTGTTGAGCCCTCCTGCTTTGTTCTTTTTCACCATTGTTTTGACTCTTCGGGGTCCCTTGCAATTTCATGAATTTTGGAACCAGTTTGTTAACATCTGCAAAGAAGTCAGCTGGGATTCAGCCGGGGATTGTGTTGAAGCTCTGATCACTTGGGGGACAACTGCCAACTGTCTTTATACCATGAAGCCTTCTGATCCATGAGCATGGACTGCTTTGCCGTTACTGAGATTTAAAGATTCCTATCAACAGTGTTTTGTAGTTTTCAGAGAAGGAGTTTTGTACTTCCTTTGTCAACTTTATTCCTAAATATTTTGCTCTTTTTGATGCTACTATGAATGGAATTATCTTCTTAATATCATTTTTGGGTAGGCCTATTCTTTTTAAAAGTACTCCTTAGCCTTTTGTCCAACACAGGGGTCCCTGGGCCTGAACAGATGGTGCTGGTGGATGCATGAGCCATTAGTGGTGTGACAGCCATCTCTGTTATTGAGTTCTGCTGACAAGCCAGTCAGTGAAACTGTTCTTTCTGATACGTGCTCATCTGGCCCTGACTTTTGCCTTGTGTTCGTTTGTCATAGGTAGTAACAGGAAGTATTTATATAGTAGGAACTTCATTCTCATGAGTGTGTTCTTTAAAAGCATTTCTTCAGCCTGGGTCGACTGGGTGGCTCAGTCTGTTAAGTGACCGACTTCAGCCCAAGTCATGATCTTGCCGTTTGTGAGTTCGAGTCCTGCATAGGGCTCTGTGCTGACAGCTCAGAGCCTGGAGCCTGCTTCAGACTCTGTGTCTCCCTCTCTCTTTGCCCCTCCCACACCTCGTGCTCTGTCTGTCTCTCTCAAAATAAATAAACATTAAATAGTTAAAAACAAATCTCTAGCCTGTATGAGGTTGATTTTTAACTTTTCTGTAGAGAACTATCCCCAGTTAGAGCTGCTGTCTGGCTGCTGGAAAGCATGACGGCGTGTGCACTGTCCCCAATTTCTCCCAGCCCCTCTACTCTCCCGCCATCTCCCCCCAGCCTACTGTGCTTCTGCGAGAGTGGGAGTTCAGTTGCCATTGGAACTCGCCATGGTGCCCTGCTGCAGCGGCCTCTGTGCACGCCCCTCGGCCCCTGGCCCCGTTGCCGTGGCATGTCTGGTGACCACATACTTGGAACTTTGTGAACGCAAAGTGCCCTGAAAGCTTGGTGTGTCGGTGCCGCTGCTGGGGAGGAAAGGACTTCTGTCTCTGGGTCGGTATCACTTCCCTGCCCAGAACGGATTACGACATATTTGGGCCTTCTGTTGCGCTGGGGTCAGAGTAGCAGGGTTAGGATTGTGTCTTTGAGTGAGAGGACCTACCATAGCCAGAGAGGCAGACCGGTGCTCAGGCCTCTAGCAGGCTGCGTGGAGCCCCGGGGGTGCAGTGCTGGCAGGCCTGGGCCAGACCCGAGCTCCTTGCCCGTGGGCTGTCAGGCCCTGGCCCCTGCTGCTGCTTCACGCACCAGGGCTCGCCTTCTTCGGGCCCGAGACAGTTTCTGGAGGCAGAATTGTAACCTCCCAGCCCCATCCCCTGTGTTCTTCCCAGCTGGAGGGGACAGTTTACTCTCCTTCCGAGTGCACTCCAGGGACACCTCGCTGCCTTGGCAGTCCTCGGAGATCCTGTTGTGACTGGGCTGGGGAGGGGCTTCACTCCGCACCTGTTTTCAAAGCACAGAAGGCTCATGTTGAAGCTGGACTAGGAAGACAACGTGTAATGCAATGAGGGATGAGGTGGCGGTGGAGGCCGCTTTAAGGATTCACAGGGAGAGACCAGGGAGCAGCATATTCTCCGTAGTATTGTAGGTGTTGTCTGCTCTGAAGGCCTATTTCAAAGGAACTCCCAACTTTAAAAAGTTTTGTAGGCTTAGGATTCTCCTGGACTTTTCCTTGGTGTGGTTCTCACCTCGTCAGGCAGTCACAGCTATAATTAAACATGAGCCACAGGGATTTCTGGTTACGATTTTCAAAATCCTTTACATGCCTCCAGCCTGGGTGGGCGGGGAGGGGGTGTGTTTTTTGTAAATAAAGTTTTATTGGCACACGGCCACACCTTTCTCTGCCACTGTTCTCACTTGATAAGGCACAGCCAATAGTTGGTGCAGAGACCATATGGCTTAGGTCCTCACATGTTTATTGTCTGGCCCTTGAAGAAAAAGTTTGCTGACTCCTCTTGGGTCTAGATAATTACAATGAATTGGGGATGTTAAATTTTTTTTTTATTTTTAAAATTTATATCCAAGTCAGTTAGCATATTGCAATAATGATTTCAGAAGTAGATTCTACTCATTCATCCTTTATGTATAATACCCAGCGCTCATCCCAATAAATGTCTTCTTTAATGCCCCTTACCCATTTAGTCCATCCCCCCACCCCCAGCTCCTCCAGCAAGCCAGTTTGTTCTCTCTGTGTCTTTTATGTTTTGTCTCCCTCCCTGTTTTTGTATTATTTTTGCTTTCCTTCCTTTATGTTCATCTGCTTTATATCTTAAATTCCACATATGAGTGAAGTCATATGATATTTGTCTTTCTCTAATTTCACTTAGCATAGTACCCTCTAGTTCCATCCACATAGTTGCAAATGGCAAGATTTCATTCTTTTTGATTGCTGAGTAATACTCCATTGTACGTACACACACGCGTGCACACATACACACACACAGACGCACCCCCCCCCCCCCCACATCTTCTTTACCCATTCATCCACTGATGGACATTTAAGCTCTTCCCATACTTTGGCGATTGTTGATAGTTCTGGTATAAACATTGGGATGCATGTGCCCCTTTGAAACAGCACTCTTGTATCCCTTAGATAAATACCTAGTAGTGCAATTGCTGGGTCATAGGGTAGCTCTATTTTTCATTTTTTGAGGAACCTCCATACTGTTTTCTGGAGTGGCTGCACAGTTTGCATTCCCACCAGCAGTACAAATGGGTTCCTCTTTCTCCACATCCTCGCCAACATCTATTGTTCCTGAGTCGTTAATGTTAGTCATTCTGACAGGTGTGAGGTGGTATCTCATCATGGTTTTGATTTGTATTTCCCTGATGATGAATGATGTTGAACATCTTTTCATGTGACTGTTGGCCATCTGGATGTCTATTAATGTCTTTTGCCCATTTCTTCACTGGATTGTTTTTTAGGTGTTGAGTTTGATAAGTTCTTTATAGATTTTGGATGTTAAACCTTCATCTGATATGTTATTTGCAAATATCTTCTCATTCCATTGGTTGCCTTTTAGTTTTGCTGATTGTTTCCTTTGCTGTGCAGAAGCTTTTTATCTTGATGAGGTTCAGATAGTTCACTTTGGCTTTGGTTACCCTTCCCTCCAGAGACCTCTTGAGTAAGAAGTTGCTGTGGCCGAGGTTGAAGAGGTTTTTTTCTGCTTTCTCCTGTAGGATTTTGATGGCTTCTTGTCTGACATTTAAGTGTCTCATCCATTTCGAGTTTATTTTGTGTATGGTGTAAGAAAGTCGGGGGAATGTTAAATTTTTATGAAATTACTATTAAAATAGACATGTGAGTTGGTACATACTGAAAAGTTGACTTCAAATTCTTTTTCCTCCCCTGTTTACTGCAGATGATTCTCCTCCAGCAGAAAGGGAACCAGGAGAAGTTGTGGACAGCCTGGTAGGCAAACAAGTGGAATATGCCAAAGAGGACGGCTCTAAAAGGACTGGCATGGTCATCCACCAAGTGGAGGCCAAACCGTCCGTCTACTTCATCAAGTTTGATGACGACTTCCATATCTACGTGTACGATTTGGTGAAAACATCCTAGATGGCATCATGGACTTCACCAAATTTGTGGAACTATTAAATGTATAATTTGTAGACATAAAGACTTGATTGCTTTCCAGTTTAATGAAAGCTTAAATGTCCCTGCGAACCCACAATCTCTGCCAGCAGAACTGGTTTTGTTCCGAATAGTACAGATTTATGTGAACACAAAGCATTTTGTGTAAGGAACTCCTTCCTCTCAAAAGAAGTCTGTCTGTCTGGAGGGGAGTTAACAGGCAAGTTTGGTACAAGTTAGGCTAGCCCCATAGTCATTTCAAACTGTAGTAGATTTTCCCCACTTCCCCGCCACTGTTTTGCTCGCCGACTCTGCCGCCGCAATGCAAGTATAGTTTGGTATTTTTGTTATTGCCTTCTTTGAGATATATATGTATCTATATCTACCTATCTATATCTGTGTGTGTACATATGTAATATATACACACACACACATAGATCCGTGCGTGCGCACGCACACATACACTTAATTGGCAGTCCTTTCTTTGTGGATTGGGGTGGGGGGTAAATAATATTCTCCAGTTTAACAGGAGTACTTGTCCGAAGTCAGTCATATTTAGCATATTACTGCTGTTTATTTAAAATTAAATGTGGGCACAGGAGACACATAGGGATGTTCAGCTTCTTTTCAAAGTCAGAAGTTCAGACACCTTTTCAATCTGGAGGCTTTAAACTGTGAGTCCAAACATGAATCATTTGTGAACAGTTGCTGGACCCACGTTAGGAATTAACAAAACAGGAATTTGGGGTGAAAAGCTGCCTTTAATTCTAAGCTTTGTAAATTTTTGTTTACATTTTTTTATCATACTTTTTTGTTTTTAAGTGAAGCCCAGGTACTTGGTCCACACAGTGTGATGCAGGCATATTTGGACAGCACACCTGGTCCGTTATTTGTATGAGTCCGCAGTCTGCATTCTAGTATGTGGATTTGAGAGGCAGCAGTACAGCAGTGGTGTGTGTGTGTGTGTGTTTGCGTGTGTGTGGTAAGTTCCTGGAAGAACCTAGTGCTTTTGTATTAGAAGTTCAAGTTGAAGAATGGCATTGCTGCCTTCCGACAAGTTCTGGGACACTTCTTTTTATTACCATTCTTGCTGATCCATGATTGTGGTCAGAAGGCTTTCCCCTCGGCTTTTTCCCACAAAGACTATCCAGACAGACGATAGCTTTGGTCCCCTGACACCTTCTGTGGTGCTGTACGGTTTTGCCCCCGGTATGCTATGGATGTGGATGCTTCCCGTCCTGTGGGCCCTGCTGTGTCAGGGTCCGTCACCGCACCAGCTTTTGTGGTTTATTCCTGCAAGGTTGTTTTAACTGAAGTAGAGCTACAGAAGTGGGGGTAGTGGCGGCATGGCCATCTGTTGCCTTGTGTCGGATGAGCCCTGATGGGCTGGCTGAAAGCTAGGAGAGCAGCAGTATGTGAAGCCAGTCTCCTGTGGAGGGTGGAAATCTTCCCTGTGTTTTGGGCAGAAGGCTGAGTACGCATGTTGTCGGTCCAGTACCAGAAGGCCATGCGGCTTCAGTGTTCGGGATTCCGTAGTTCATGGCCTCCCCACGTGTGGTTCACTTGGTTCCCACTTTTGCCTTTGGGAAGACCATGCGCTGTCGCACTGTTGGATGGTAGCCCCGCGCCTCACCTCAGGCGGCAGCCGGGTGCCTGGTCTCAGACGGTCCTTCTCCTTGGACAGGTGTCTTGCTGCACGTCTTGTCACCTCTTTTCCTGGTGGCCCTTCTGAGAGTCCCTGCATGTGAATCTCAAGGCAGAGCCCGTCTCCCCACGTGCCAGTGGATATGTGTGCCCAGACAGTGGGGGCAGCCGGCATACGCACGATGTGAACGCAGCACAGAGGCATTGGGCTCCAGAACCGGTGTCATTTGGCAGCATCCTGCAGGGTGGGTCAGTGGAGGCATCCCGGCCTCACTCACTGACTTGCATTGTGGTTTTTTTGCAAGTACCTTTAGCACCTTCAGTACCACACGGTCTGCCTCTCTCCAGACGAATGTGACGCGTGGTCATCATCCTCTTTTTAGTCATCGTTCCACGTATCGCCTTTAGGGCGGAAGGAAGGGGAAGGGGTTTTTTGTTATTTTCCTTTTATTTGCCCCATTCTCTTTTCTTTCGGTGGCTTAACTCCCACATCCGCGGTGACTGATCCCACTCCTTCGCCCGGGATTTCAGGCTTCGTTTTAGGCTCACGTTTCTGATCTGCATGCATTGCTTGCCTTTTCCTGGTATTGGGATGTTGGTTCCTTGTTCCGGGAGCCCAACATTAGTTTCCAAAATTATCACGGGACTTGTGACCGCACAAGACCTGAACCTGTATAAAATGTCCCGGCCTTCCTCACTGACCTGCTGTAGTGTTCTTGTGTCGTGTGCGTGTGACGTCTGGCTGCCCACGTGAAGCTTCAGAGGAGAACCTTAAGCGCAGACCATCCTTTTTTGCATGCTCTATTCTAAGTAGGATGTTCAATGTAACTAACTGAACTTGCATGTGAGAGATATTTAGGTTTTTTGTTTTCTATCTTTGTTTTTATTTGTTTTCAGCTGTCTGTATATTTGCTTCCTGTGCTGTTGTAGTGGTCGTAGGATACAGATGCACTGGTGAAGCAGTGTAGTGCCAGCAGAAGGTGATTTTCCAGCCCTGTCTGTCGTGCAGCATTTGAAGGGACTGTGCATTCTTGAAACTCTCACAGTTACTTCTAAGCCAGAGTTCATTCCTATTATTGTTTTACGTGCCAAACCCCGAAGTGCATTGGGCTTGAATCTCTGAACGCTGTGGACCCATTAGAAGACTGTTTTGATTGTCACAAATTGTAGTGCCTGAAAACATTCTTAAGCTGATTGTCTTAAAAAAAAAAAAAATAAAAAAAAGTTCTCCAAAGACAAACAGGAACAATTATTATAACAGAAAATAATTATGGTCGAAATGTCTGTGGTTCCTTGGAAATGCTGCGCTTTTTGTATTTTCCACCGTTAGTGCAGTTTGAACGAATGTGTATAGTTCAGAGGTCTTCGTGTTCGCATTTTAAAATTAGGTAAATGACCTCATCTTTCAAGCTTGAATTCATTTTTAATTTTAATTTTATTTTATACAATGTGTAGACAGTTCCCTGTTCTCTGCATTTAGAAGTATAAACAATATAAATCTGTTAATTCTGTAAGTAATTTTTATAATTATGATGTAACTCTATCCTATCCTTAAAACATTTAAAATAAACCCTTTATGTGCAACTTCCGACTGTAAATTTTGTGCTCATGAGCAAAATGTGATGTGTTAAACCTGCTTCTGAAAAAGTTTTTAAAGTTTTACTTTAAGATCCTTTCACCACATGTAAATGTCAGATATGCAGAGACAGAAATAAGTCCGACTTTACTTAAATGGTAACACTCAGTTATTCCCGAGGGGAGAGGGGCAGTGATCAATATCCCAAATACATTCTCTAGTCCAAAATATTCAAGTTTGTGATTTGCCATTAATGAGAAAATTTATCATAAAATTTTAAACTGAATTGTTTTAAATAGAATTAAATAATATGTATTTTATACCTTCACATCTAGTTCTGCTTTGTATATTGCCTGTAATGCTGTTAATACTTCAGTACCAACTGGTGAGAGTCTGTAGGGGAAAAGCCCCATGTTGATGGCAGGGACGAGGAAGCTTAGGTAATGCTGGAACTGCTTTGTGTGTTGTGTTTTATCTTCCTGGGCGATTGTAATCAGTGAGGAAAAAAGTAGATTCACAATGTGCCTGTAATTAGATTTGTTTTTGATGTTTCGCTGTTGAATTGGGCTTAAGGACCATGTGATTAAGGTCTGGGTGGGACAGGTTGCCTTTTCGCAGCCAGAGTGGCCATAGGAACGCCCCCCACCCCCACCCCGGGCTGGGTGGAGGCACCCGCCTGCCCTCTAGAGTCCTGATCTCATGTCCTCATCCTGCTGAACATCAGCCCTTGTGCAACTGCACATGCGGCTCAGGATGCGTTTTCCCTAAAAATGACAGCAAGTCTTCATTGGAAGGTTGGTGGTAGCTGGCCACTGTCGATAGGCCAGCGAGTGGGTCTGCACGGCTTGGAGAATCATAGGTGGGCCTGGCTGTTTGACCATTCTCGGCAGGGCCACAGTGCTGGCGGTGAGTAAAGCTTGGCAGATGCTCCGAAGCCCTTGGCCATCACCACGTGGGACTCCTGATGCAGGGGAGGGGGTGGCGCACCTTGTCTCTCTGGTGTTGATGAGGCTGCATATCTGGTCCAGGGGGATTGCCGGCCTCAGTGCAGGGACCCCAGCCATCTCTGTGGCTAGTTTTGTAACCTTCCTTCCTAAGTTGAGGGCAGAAAGTGTTTGCTTATTTTCGAATTATGCTGAAGAGATCTAAATTTCCCTCACAAGGTTGTAGAAATATTTTATATTTCAAAGATTTTTAAACATGTCATTACGTTCATATTTTTGTAAAAGCTGGACTTCTTACGTCCACAGTACATAGCCTCATGCCTAATTTTTACAGTAATTGGTGTGTCCTCTGTCATGTATTTGTAAGGTCTTAGGCTGCCGTGTCTTAGAGAATTGGGTGAGTCTTTGAGTTATTTCTGCGGACTTTCTCAGATGGGTTCTGTCTGCCCTCTTACTGGCTGTGGAGCTCTCCAGCTTAGTGACTCCGCACATCATTTTGCATAGAAATGACCTTGCATTCTTTCTGCTTAGTTTTTACGCGAGGACGTGGACCAGGTGGCGTGTTGATCCTTGCCAGTCCAGGCGGCGGTGACACTGGAGTGCGGGCCCTGGCTCGCGTTTCGTTTTTGTGCTGGCTGTTCCCATCGGGTGAGTAGGCTGCCGACGGCAATGTGGGTGCATCCTGCTGCCTCTTACCTCCCTCCTCCGTCACCTTCAGACTGTGCTCCAGACTTGGGTCCTCCAGGAGCACAGCTCGAAGCAGTGCGTGAACTACCCGGAGCCCTTCACCGGATCAGACCTGCACATAACTTCAAAGCTGTGTGTGTTGGAACCACTGCAGCAGGTATGATGTGAACAATGTGGGTGCAGGCCTCCCACAAGTGTTGGTAGGTCCAGGTTGAAGTTCATACTCGGAATGGACTTCTGTGTGTACACCGCATAAGTGGCTTTAGAGCTTTGCCTTGAGTTTGTTCCTGAAGGGTGTGCGAACCATGTGGTAGCTTCTGTCCAGGAGTGTGTGTGTGTAGACATATGTGTGACAGGTGCTGGGCGTCCCCCGCCAGGGAGATGCAGAGAGCGGCTCTGTCCCTGGAGGTGGTTCTTTGGTGGGGACTCTGTGCCATGTACTGGGGACCTTATTTTATCAGACATGGCTTTGGGTCATCCTGTAGGGCTAAGGTCCTGTGGTTTGAAGCCCTGGGTTTGTGTCATCTTCAGAAGAGCCCTACAGGGGAGCAGGTGTTAGGGACTGAAAGATCAGAGGGGATGGAGCCCACGTTCTGCATCGTCCTGCAGCTCGAGGGGAGACTGACTCCTGTTATCGGGGGTCCCTTTGCTTGACTCACGTTCCCAAGGATCCCGATGTGTGTTACGTCCTCACTGGCCCTCTCTCTGTTTTACTTAGCCATTGTCTACTTTTAAAAGGGTCATGCCCTGAGTCATCACGCATGTGGTGGGCCCCTGAGGGAGTGTTTGTGAGGACACTGCATGCTTGTATGTTCGTTGGCTCTGGTGGCTGCAACAGACACCAGACGGAGCAGGGGCACTTAAACCGCAGACACTGTCCTCATGCTGGAGGCTGGAAGTCTGGGATGCAAGCATGGGTGGGGCTGGCTTCTCCTGAGGCCTGTGTCCTGGCGTGTGGACACCGTCATCCCCTGATGACCTCACGGGGTTGTCTCTCCGTGTGTATCTGTCCTGACCTCCTCTGCTTATAAGGACACTGGTTACCCTGTGTCAGGTCCCTCCCATATAAACTCATTTAATGCAGTCCTATGCTGAGGTCCTGGTGGTTAGGGCTCCAGCAGGTGGTTCAGGGGACACACTGCAGCCCACAGCTCCATATTCAAATTTAGGTGGGCTTTCTGACTGTTAACTAGGAAAAGAAATATTATTGGTAGGGCATTATTTTTTATTATTATTACTTTTTTATGTAGAGAGTGAGTGGGGAAGAGGGAGAGAGGGAATCCCAAGTGGGCACCATGCTCAGCACAGAGCCTCGATCTCACGATCCTGGGATCATGACCTGAGCCAAAATCAAAGAGTCAGATGCTCAACTGAGCCACCCAGGTGCCCTGGCAGGGCATTATTTTTGACACACTGATTGTTTTCAAAGTGACACTAATGTTCCCTTCGGTATAAAAGGGACAGGTAAATCTCAAGCCCTGGAAGGTGGGAAATCACAAGAGTTGTAGGTGTGACAGCCCCTCCCCCAGTGCACTCAGGCACATCAGCTCGCCCCTTCCCTTGATCTCAGGTGTGAGCAGGGAGAGCCCTGAAGACACGTCTGTGTCCAGTGCAGTGCAGACCGGAGCTTGACGTGGAGGGGACACACCGAGCTGTGCCGGGCCTGTCTTACACAGATGGCTTTGTCCCTCAGGCCTTGCTGTGTTTGTTGTCCTTTGTTGACTTCCGTTCATACTTTGTGGATCCTGTGATGTCAGCAGGGAGGTTCTCGGTCCTTTTCCTGGAACACTGGCATCTCCCAGCATCCCCACACGTTGTTGTCATAAAGCACTGTTGAGGTATTAGCGGGGTGTTCTACAGTTTTCGTTGGATCATACTGAGAAGTAGACTGTGACCCTGACCTTTGTGAATAAAAGTGTGCATGTGAGTCTTGCTTTTGTTCTCAACATTGTCGTGGGGGTCCTGCACACCACACTGCCTCCTTCCTGCTTTCGAGAAACGTGGTGTGGAGGTTCATCGTCCACTGGTGGCCTGGTCGGTTGTAACGTAGCAAGCAGGTCTTCTCTCAGAGCCTCCTGCGGCCACACAGGGAAGCTGTGTTCTTTAGAAAAGGCCAGCAATGGGGCGCCTGGGTGGCTTAGTTGGTTAGGCGTCCGACTTTCGCCTAGGTCATGATCTCATGGTTCGTGGGTTCGAGCCCCGCGTCGGGCTCTGCGCTGACTGCCACCTCAGAGCCTGGAGCCTGTTTCAGTCTCTGACTCCCTCTCTCTCTGACCCTCCCCTGCTCACGCTGTCTCTCTGTCTCCTAGAAATAAATAAAACATTAAAAAAAAAAGAAAGAAAGAAAAGGCCAGCGATGTCCTGGGAAGAGTAGCTGTGCTGTGCAGGGGCGGGGGAAGGGGGTGATCCTTGCCTCATCCACCTGGAGGTGGGCTTGATGCACCATGAATTCCATTTCCACTTTTCTTCTCCTTTCTACTATAATCTGAAATTGCCCCCCACCTCCCAAATTGGAGCTTTTAAAAGTTGATTAGGTTTCTAGGGGAAGAAAAATTTGCAGGTGTTAAAATTCACGTTAGTGTTTGATCTCCATCATGAAGTTTCTAGTGTGGACAGTTAACATTGGTCCTCACACGCTTCCTAAGTGAAGCCAGCTGCTTTGCTTAAAGTGCCACAGATTCTTACTTCGCTTTAATGTGTGCCCCAAAGAAACAGCTAGCCAGATTCTCAAAGGAGAGACTGGAGGCTGGTGCATCTCTTCTGTGCAGTGCAGGGAGGGTGGGGGCTGTGGGCTCCAAGAGCACATTCTTGTCCTGAGGAAACAGATACCGGAATGTTCTAGACTTCCGGTCTCCATCGTAACTGGAAGAGAGGGTTTAATTGAACTTCTTAAGAGGGGAGTTTCAAATGTTGCAGCCCTGTAAGTCTTTATCACAACTTAGAAGAAACAAGTTAGTTCTGACCTAATTGAGCTTTAATGCTGTTCAGATAGTGGTAAAAACGTACGTTTTCTCTAGTCTGTTTTGTAAATGTGGACATACGCCAACAATTGTGTAAGGAACAAAACAGGTGTATTTTAGTCCTCAAAAGTGCCGATTCTTTAGTTGTGCATTTTTAAGCGGTGCTGTGGAACATGGCTATTCTTCTGGATGATGTGGGTATGGTGTGCCGCTACCCCAGAGCTGTGACCCCCGAGGGACATTGACCAAAACTGACCTTGTGGTCACTGGTCTGTGATTAAGATGCTCCAGTGTGTCTGGTGACACAGTGTTGTGATTGGGGGACTGGAGGAAACGGCACTGTGGCCGCTGGACTTTGTGGGACAAGTTCACAAGGCCCCAAGAGACCAGCCTGGCAGGGTTTGGGGTCTGGTCTCTTTTTTTCTGTTTGAAAATGTCTCTGAGCCCCAGTGTCTCTCCCAATACGATTTATTTTAACCTCCAAACTTCTCATTTGTTTATCCAGAATAATACTACAATTTCCTGTTTCTTTAAAGCACTTAGGAAAGAAGATTATTGTTTGCAAAAATGCCTTATCAGTAAGTGATGGTGTTGTGTGCACAATGGTCAAGCTCATGCCTGCCCTGAGGATCCCTGCATCAGGCTATCTGCTGCTCACCTGGTCAGTGAGCTGCCTCACATCCCATTACGTCAGGGCACTGGCCGAGGAGCCTGGGGCCATGACCGCATTTGTTACT